TCTGTATTTCAGTATTTTTAGATAGGGTAATATATTACAAATCAAGATTATCTTTCCATATAAGCTTTTTTTCTGAAAATGGACAAGGGGATATACTCTTTTAAAGGAGAAAATACAGGGTGTCGCGCTTAAATATAATACAAGCCTGTAACTTCATTATTTGGCTGATTTAAATTTTTTTATGGAATATAGGGTAAAAAAGAACTCTATCTAACTGTGATACTGCTGTTTTTTATTAACGGCCAATTTTTCAAATAGGTCAAAAATAAAGAAGCTACAGGCTTGTATCACATTTACGAGCGACACCCTGTATAATATTTTTTGTGATATTTTATTCTTAAACATCGAATTAACATAATAATAATAAATTTAGAGAGGATATAATCACTTATAAAAAGTTTGGGATGTAAGTCACTTCTAATAATACCTAATAGGTACTGCATAAATTAAACCAGAACACAAAAAAGTGGTCTTACCTATGATTTTACCCAATAGGCTATATGTATTTTGACGTACTGAATCTGAATCTGAAGTCCGTTTAGCTCAAACACCCCCAAATTTAACGTTAGTGAACGCAAAAAAAAATTCGAAAAAATTTGTTCTGAACTTGATCAAGTGGGTTTCTTATGTGTTTTAAAGTGCTGAATTCAAATCTGAAGTCTTTTAGCTGCATCCCCGTTCCCAGATTTAGCAAAAATCGCAAAGTAATAGCGAAAAATCGCAAAGAAATGTGTTCTTATAAATTTTGACGAGCCGAATTTGAAGTCTGTTGAGCCTCATTACTCAAAAATGTTGTAAAAATTGCAAAATATCGCAAGAGAAATGGAAATCGTGAATCCGAATAAATAATAATAATTTCGACCGACTCGAATCAGGCTTTTCTTGATGTTGCTCTTACAGCGAACTCTTTTCTTTTTGATGACCTATGCAGGGGTTTCTGTTTCTTTTCTGTCTATTCTGATTCGTTTTTCTCTTTTTGTGTCCAACAGAAATCTGCCATCATGAATCAATTCTCCATTTATAAAAATAGTTATAACTGTAAATATAGGAAAGGAAAGTAGACATTTCACTGAATTACTGAACTCTTTTTGGAATTCACACGATGATTTAATATTAAAAAGTGATTGATAAAATAATACTTGGCGTTCATGTTACTGATATGAAAGTTTAAGCAACGATGATAGAGGTTAGTACTTGATTGTGTAATCCACATAATCCTGGATATCCAGGTAAGACCCTGCACCATTCACAGAAGCTACAAACATTTAGGCCAGACTTATACAGAAAAACGTATCAACCCTCGGAAAGGATCTAAAACTAACGACCCCTTGTGTAAGCGAGGCGAGGAAAATAGCCCTACTCTACGAGAAGGTGGTGATTCAGCAAAATTTCCAGAATAGGGATTGCTCATGGCTTGGCGAGGGTGTTTAGCCACAATAATATATAATAACCATAAAGCAAAAAGGAAAATAATACTGTATGGTTTTTTGCGTTTTTTTTCTTGAGGGTATTTTTTGAAAAGACGCCAGGATGTACCCTATTCAGCCTATTGGATTATTTTATAACATTCTGATAGACACATATAGACCATACCATATCCACCATAGGTAGCGCCATTGGCATCTCCACTACTAGAACTCCTATTACTGAGTTACTACATTTTAGAATACAACTTCGCCTAACATTATGGTTGTCACTGATTTAGAATTATCTTAATTGTAAATTATATGCTGACTGAAAATGGAATTATTACTTTATCTTGAAAGGTAAAATAAGAGTAACTAACTACCTACAATTCGTTTAATTTATAAGGATCCAAATTATAATATATTTCTTGCACTTCAAAAAGTTCAAAATCAAGAATTACCTTTTTCATAATTTTTGAAGTGACACAAGATTCAAATTATTGACAGGTGGATAAATATAAGGAAAGTATTAATACCTAGTATAAAGCTATAATTTAGATGTTGATTGATATTTCTTTATTTACGGAATATCTTAATAGCAATTATTATCTGTATCATCATTTTTACTATTAGAATATTTATAGCAAATTTCTCATACAATTAGTTAATTTTAGTAGAATATTTGTTCTCATATAAAATATAAATTTTCTATTTCTTGAATAATATTGATATAAAACATTTATTGTTAATATCTATTTAAAGAAACAAGAGTTTAATAATTGGAGGGGTAATGATTAGAAATACAATAGTAGTTTTCTCCGTGTACCATTTCTGAGAAAAATAAAAAACTAAAAGATGACCTAATGACCGAATGAATCGTCTTAAATAAATCAAAATATCGAGATGTCGATTTACTGTTAATTTTTTTTTGCACGCGAGATCTAGACAATAGCTATGTACTTTTTGTCTTTCTTCTTGGGAAATATAAAAAAACTTCAAATTTATCACTATTGGTCCACCCTTTAGAGTTAAATTCCTTAGAATCGAGTAGATTACTTTGAATTCGGGAATGATAAGTACTCACAAAGACTGTAATTAATTATTCCTTTTATCGATATGAACTCTGTATATGTTAAATGAAGTTACCTATTTTAATAAAAATTACAATCAGTAGAATATATCTCTGACAGGTTTATTAATTCCTATTTACTGCAAAGCCTGCGAAGTACATTTATTTAATAATATTTACCTTTGCTGTAGATTTATGACGTTATAATGCAGATGGCAATACTGCAATAGAGTTACACTGAGAAAAACATTAGTATGTATTAAATCATTTCTGTGTGTCCCAAACTAATCGTAGATTTGAATACTGTCTAGCATATATAGGTTTACCTACTTATAACTTGTTATAATTCCAAAATTTTAAAAAGCCCAGTTTTTGTGTAAAATTTGTATATTTAGATATATTTGATATTTCATTATGTTAAATATGCAGGAATTTCGTTCAAATATTGTTTATTTTAATAATATCTTCTGTTACTATTTCACATAGTAACTAAATAATTTTTGTTTTAAAGAATATTAGGTATATACAGGGCACTTAACATGTATGGACTGTATTAAAATATTTTTTAATATAAAGATGATTCGCTTGGAAAACTATTTTCTTCGGTACCTATAACTGAAATTGTTTATTTGGTGTAATTTAATTAATAGTAACAAAATCATTAAAATTGGCAAACATTGTTTCAAGATTACGTAGATATGGTTAAAAATTGGCTACACTTTTGTCTGGATTATCTGTTTACTACTTTTTGTATTCAAAAATTTTTCCATATACAGTGCTATCCAAAAAGTTTGCACCATATGGGAAAAAACTTTATGTATAAATTTAATAAATTTCTTCGATTGTCAGTTGTCTCTGCATGTCGTCAAATCAAAATAGCGTCCATCGAACTTCATAAAACATTTGTTACATACGAGGGGCGGACGAAAACTGCAAATCGGCCCAAGAATAAAGTACCTTTATTTTCAACCCTAGGCAAAAATGTTATAAAGAAAAGTTATTTCTGTCTAAAAGATTAGCCCGAATATAAAGTTTCAGTTGAATATGTTGAAAAAGCGATTCCTGACAATTTTGCAACTTTCCCTTGTACCACAATTCGAACGAAAACATCCATCACTATAGTCACGTTTTTTTAGTACGCTTCCACGAGTAAAACATTATAATTCCTGAAAACAAGAGACAACAAACAACAATTCCTCGAATCGGGAACTAATAAGGCCGTTATGAAAAATTGTATAGAAAATAAGAACAAATTTGATGCAAACTTTATTTTATGTTCAAGAATAATTTAAAGAGGGACTATAGAATAAACTTAGTAATAATAATACTTTAAAGAAGAAGTGTATATGTGGTGTACTATTTTTATATGGTTGCCAAAATTTAATTGTTGATCTAATACAACATCAAGATATTTAATCTCCAAGACCATTTCAATCTTTACACCATTGAAATCGACCCCAAGATTACTCTGTGCATAATTTTGATACCTTTGTTTTGTACCTAAAATCATACATTTAGTCATTGAAGCATATAATTTAAGTTTATTATTGCATTGCACAACCACTTAATAATAGTAATATAATTAACTGTTTTAATAGACAGATGAATATTTTCACGTCACATGTAAAATAATGTATTTTAATATTATCAGAAGAAGGTTCACCCAAAATTGTAAGAATAAGAAGAAGAAGAAGAAGAAGAAGAAGGAGAATTGTAAGTAATTAAGTAGGTAATTAAGTAAGTAATTTGTAAGTAATTTTCAACTCATTATCCGCATTTTGTTATGCATCTTTGAAATTGTTTCCACAAAATAAGAGCTTTCTATACGTTTCTTTTTATATTTTCCAATTACATTTTTATTAATTTTAATTATTTTCAGTCACTCTTTTAGGTAACATTTAAATTCAACAAAATATTTTTCCCATAACTATTCCATTCTAGCAACAATTGCAAAATTTTACAATATTATCATTATTATCTTATTATTTGAGATCAATGTAGTATTCGTATAAATATGAATTAGTTTCCTTTATCATTACAGTAAAAATATTTCCGAGGTCTTGATAAATACATTTTCACGCCATGCCAAACTTCAAGGTATATCGAGTGTGACATTATATTTATAGTTCATTTGTGAAACGAAACTTCAAATCAAATGCTCGATATTTTATTACAGATTGCAAACACAGATAAGCACGTGCTCTTCACGTTCATAAATTTTAAAATAGTACACAAACTGGAATCGCTCCTATTCCGTAATATTCCAAATCAACAGTGAAATAACTCATACTAAAATATTTCTAACCTTCTGGCAGATTCGTCAGAGCCTTCTAGACATCCAGCACAGTCGATTTCCAAGGGGGAGACACTAAAGAAAGTCTAAATATATCCCTAAAACGATTTCGCCAAACATCTCGCGCTTTATGCAACACATGAAACCGGATTATTACTAAATTACTCAAATAAAGCATACAATCCACATAAAACCAAACTTATAGTATGAAAGTGCCATAAATTTTGATTACCCTTCTATTCCTGGAGAATGGTATGTAAATGTGTTTCTTGGGGTGGTGATGGTGGTGGTGGTGGTGATGGGAATGATGGTGCTTCTTCCTCAGCATGGTCCTATATTAGTTGTCTTCTATATCACAGCACTATTCACTTTACTAGATAAAACACGATTTTTTTACTTAGCGATATCAGCAATTTCACGAAACAGGTTTATCACAGACACGCTTATTCATTTTAGAACAATTGTTTTAAAAAAAATGTGTCCACATCACCTCAGTTTAATATTTCGTTGAGGAACTACCGTCAAAGCGACTGTATATCTTATGCCAGAGATGATTCTAAAAATAATTAAAGGAGTCTGAGACTTATGTCCCATGGTATCAACGAAATTTTATTTATGTTTCTCGGTAGTAGAAAATAAATACGCGGCTAAACAAATATTTTGGCTGAGCTTCCTAGAACCTATTGTAGCACAGTCTAAGTGGTTCTAGTTAGAAATGCTTCAGCACTGGAAATTTTGTGTCTCATGAAAAACGAATCGATGTAATAATCTGTGAATTCTAAATAAGTCCAAATGTTCTGTCGAGATATGAATATTAAGGGTTACAATAACACTTTATGAATAGAGGCTACGTAATCGTACGAAATAAGTCACAGTTGTTGGGACTACTCATATCTTAAAAAAATTCTATGAGACAGCCTCTGTAAAAATATATTTGACAAAATTATTAATATTTGTTTGAGAATTTTTTATGGGCGACTGTACATCTTTCTAATAAATGTCAACATTTTTTAATTACGATCAAATTAATTAACACATAGTATTCTTAATAAATTACATCTATTTTGAAATAAATATTATGAAAGTTGTAGATTTTGAGAAGGTCTTTTACATCCAGTTAAAAAGTACAGGGTGTTCCATTTGAAAAAACAAAATTTTTGCCATTGAAAAAGATAACATTTGATACGACTTTATGAACACACTGTATGACATTTATAAACAATAATCACTTCAGAATTTACGGTGAACCTAGTACAATATGTGTGACGATTACTTAGATTGTATCTCAAAAAACGAGTACATTATTATCAGCAACGATCAAGTGTAACGCCGAAAATGTCATTTCTTAGATACAGAGCGTTCAAAAAAAATGTTATTTCATCAATTATTGTAAATATTATTAACTTATTTGTAGTAATAGTTTAGTCTTAATCTTGTAAATGAGTTTGTCACATGGCAATACAATCACTAAAAGACACATTTTTTTTACTTATTTTTCAAAAATTCTTAATGATTCAACTTACAAAATTCTAACACAGGTTTAACTTTAAACCCGTTTTTTTTACAAGACTGCTACTTTCAGCGACAAATACTAAGAGTACCTCCTGTACGTAAAATTGAATGGAGAATATGTATGTTTACTCAAAAATGGCATAGAGTGTGACACAAAAAAGTTATGGTTATTTAAATACAGGTACAACACTGTTTGTGGCCCCCTCTAACAGTAAACAAAAAACTAGGTAAATATTTGAGTTTCTCATCATCAATACTCCCAGTTTCCCGAATTTGGTCAAATTGCCATGTTATTGAACAAAAATATAATCCAAATACCAAACAAAATTTTTTTTTTGACGCTCTGTATATCAAGAACCAAGCCATTGCGTCATATGAACTTTTTATCTTATTTCGTCAAAGACTCGCCCTTTAAAGTTTATACAAGTGCTTAATAAACACCCTGTATATCGCTGACTTCTATAAGTCGTTGACTTTTGCTTTTATTGTCACTTCCTTTGTCTTAGTTTTGACAGTTCAAATATGTTTACTTGTCTGTTTCCATATCTAGATATATCATGTTACATTTACTACTATTATTTACTTCTTCTTTAGCATCTAAATTCACAGAATCGAGGTCTCTTTTAATTTTTTAAGGCTTTATTTTCGTCTCCATTAAACGGTGAAAGACTTGTTTCAAATGACTTTGTGAATTTAGATCCTTGTTGGCTACAAACACTAATAAAAAAGTATTTAATAATAGAATAATCAACGTATTATATTCCTAATTATGGGAAGAGACCAATAAACAAATCCTTATTGTCAAAATTAATATAAAACGAAACTTGTCAATAAATGGTTCACTCAAATTTTCCTTTAAAATAAATGTCTGTCCCAATAACAATCAAGAAATTGCCCCAAATTAACACAATAAACACATGTGTAGGCTTTCAAATGATAATAAATTTGTATTTCAGAACAAATTTGAAATAATTTCGAAAGAATTACTAATAAGTTCAATGAGTACATCCTAAGGTACATCCGAGCAGAAATAGATTTCTGACAAGCTACCCTTATCCTTAAATACTTAATTTACGTTGCGGAAAAAGTGTATTAATATTCCCAAAATATTCAAATGCTCGTAACTTCTTGAATGGATGAAATAAAAATTTGAAAAAATTCAAGAAAGCGACTCTAAATGGGTACTAAATAATACCAAAAAATTAGGAAAATTAAAAATGATGCCATTACAACCTCAGTGATTTGGCATGGAATGAATGCTCAATATCCAACTAATAATATTCCCAGGTTTATGTGCTCTCTAGTAGAGCCATCTCGCGATAAGTCTAGGCGACGTCAATGAGTTTCGACCGCTGGGAACATGCAGCGAACGATTTTAGCGCCACTGAGATTCGAAGTAGACAGGTTCAACATCTGATCACCAGATGACGATACAGCTCAGTTTCAGATCCCTATACGATCCTGAAAGTAGCATCGAACGATTTTCCAGCAATTTCAGGATGTGCGTACAAGATGGCGGAGTCGCGGGTGTAACAATGTTTTTCTAGAAGTCGTTTATTTTACTTTGTCTTGCAAGTTGCTCAACAATTATTATTTAAGGATAAAATTAGGCACAGACACGTGAAAATCTATTTACATACACATATACACAAGTACGATTATTCACGATTCCATACTTCCCTACGTTGTAATATTAAATATATATTTTAAAATAAACAATAAATTTGACCCTCAATAACATTCGTTGGAATTTCCTGTCGCTGCACGAAATTTTCTCCACAAGAAAAATGAAATTTGTCTAATAATGTTTAATAATCAGGTCCCGAATTTCAGTCAACTTAACCATGAATGTATTTATAAATTCATGATTTATTTCATGCTTTACAATTCTACGTAATATTCGTATGAAAAGTAACAGATATGTTAGGCTCTGATTGAAAAACTGCGCTCTGGAAAATTTCTGGCTCTCATTAAACAACTTATCTTTTTTAATTGTACCTAAATCTTACTCTCTAAATTAATAAAAGATTTAGAAAACAAACCCCACTGCAAGGATTAATCAGGGATTGTTAAACAAATTTATTTAAAATCAATTCCTAACATATCTTTGTGGTACAGGATTTTATTTACTAATTTTCTATTAATTTCTTCTTTAAAGTGCGGCAAAATAAAATTAAAGAATATTTCACAGATTTTCATGCATCTATATGAATATATATTTTTTTTTAGTTCAAACATTATTTTTCGTTGGAATGTTCACTAGGCTTTTAAAACTATAATTCGTTTTTCTGTAATATTTTAATGTGTCTGGAGTATTCACAGACATGGAGATGATTTTTTATTATCAATATAATCGTTGAAACTACAAAATTCTGCATAAAATGAATAATAATCAAAATAGTTATTGAGGACCTCTGGAATAGGTCGCGACTTACGTGCTGCACAAAGAAAGGTCAATATTTATGACCGTAATTTTTTTCTGCTTTTTTGTAACAAATAGAAAAACTGTTAGTTCAATTTTAGGTAATCACCAGTTCTACGGTAGTTTTCATTATGGAAATGCGTGTCTTTTATTGTGAAATTCGTAGTGAACAAATGTTTTTAAGGAGGTTCGATACCGAAAAAAAAATGGTAAGAAAGTTTTCAAAATCATTGAAATCTGTTAATAAATATGCCAACTGTCTCGTGTAAAAATATCAGATCGATTGCCAATACAGTTTTTTTGAAAAATAATATTAAACATTATGCTCTTTATACACAGGCTCTTATGGGAGTTGGGAAAAAAACTTTAATCAAACATGAATATTACTTTTAAAAATGGTTAGGATCGGGAAAATAAAATTGTAATTAAAGAATTAAATATTACTAAACATTTTAAAACAATAAAAATATGCACTTACAATGTAATTATTGAGATAATGGAATGAATATATAACGTTTTGAGAAATTTGAACAAACATCTGATCCAATGAAAGGAAATATGGCAACACTGTACGCTGTATTTAACGCTTCAACTGACGCGCTATATTTGAATAGCTCGATTATAGACTATAAAATTATTCCAGTCGAAAACATATGTAGTAATAATTAATATTAAATACATTTTTCGTGATCTAATGCAATATAATAGCAATTTGAAACAAAAATTGGCAGGATCTCTCTGCAAAACGAACAGTATAGATGTTCTGTCATAATCTTCAATTTGACAAGGCGACGTCTCACTATCATACACTGAGCTTCTTGATAGTTATCATATGGATTCTCGGTTTGCACATTTTACTTTTTTCTCATCAATCCATATTCTGTTTCATACGCATTTTATATTGCTTTTCAGTCATTACTTTTCCTTTGTATCTTGGAAGTTCATTCATATTCGGAATATGCGCAAATCACAGTTGACACAACTTTTACTACCACGCCATGGCAATGGCAATGTTGCCAGATCTCATCCATAATTTTACAAGCTCTTAAGAGATAAATAGACACTTTTAATCAAATAAAAAGTTAATTGCCGTGTATAAACACCAAAAATATATGCAAGCTAATATGTGTTGTATAAATTTTATTCGTATTTATTATATTTAGTTCGCTCAAATTAGTTTATGTAAGGTTGGTACTACAACGAAACTACCGTGTATAAGCATAGGCTTCCCTCCCGCACCGCCTGCCCCGCAAGAGAACCTCCTTAAGTGAAGTCGATGATTTTTCTAGATTCTTACATTTAACTGTGTTATCTTTTTGGGAAAGAACAATGCACCTGACGTATTTATATTAATAAGTGAAATAAGCATAGTAGAACTTATGTAAACAGAGACAAAGCTAAAGTAGAATCAGCGGTTCCAAAAAAGTTTTTGTTTTACCAATATTTTGGTATATATTGGTATTTTCAAAAAATATTTCTGTCAACCAAGTTTTCGTTGCTCGATTTATTTACTCGTCAAATATACTCTCCAAGTTTGTAATCATCACGTATACTTAAATCAAAATTAAGATTAACGAAGATTATCAGCAATTTCTTTTTTCCCAAACAATAATGTCTAATTATTATTTTATA